GCAAGGACACATAGTACAATACCTCTGTTTATATCCACTAGAGGGAAGCATTACACACATCTTTTCATGGGGACTTGAAAGTATAGCTAACCTATACCTTGGCATACCATCATATGTACACTAGGTGTGATTTGTGCTATAAAAAGAGACTGGTGTTACTAGTAAGACAATGCAATTTGAACTGTGGAAGGCACTGAGCGGTTTGCATTACAGCATTATACCCGGAAAGATCTAAGCTTTGGGGGAGGGAACAGCGTGACATTTGGTCCTTCCTTATCCCAATGCGGTTCAAAGCCTTTACTTCATCATCACACTGCAAATACCCTTCATGCTCCCTCATGGGCATTTAGGGAGCTGTAATGACCCAGATTTTTCTGGGGCTGGAGCCAATGCACTCCTCGGCTCCCAGCCACATTTATCTTTGATTTGATTCCCTCTTTGTCTGCCTGCTCTTAATTGCAGCTCTGTCTCTTGGAGTTGGGCTGCCTCCCACCCTCTCCCAGCAGTCTTGTTTGATGGGCCCTTGGGTCAGGAGTCCTTCCCCATTGCCTCATTAACAATGCATGGCCCGGCCCATTTCGCATCCCCACAGCCTCGTTAACGAGCTGCAGCACCACACCATCAACTCCTGCTGGCTAATTATTATCATCAGCTTCTCATGTTGCAGATGTGGTAGAGCCCATGGTGGTGGTGGCGGAGTAAACTTTTCTGAGATAAGGGTTTTCTTTTCTTTTCTTTTTTTCCAGAACAGGTGCCAGGAGTAACCCAAGGAGAGTAGCATTCAGACCACATTCAGAAGACTGAAAGCAATCTGGCTCGTTTGTGAAAAGGCCCTTCAGAAATACAACAAAGGATTTTCTTAATTAACCACAAAGAAATTCTGTTCTCAGGGACCAGCCACTTTAGCAGTGGGATGATAAACTTTGGGCTGAAATGCTAAATAGAAAGCAATTTCCCAGTCCTCACCAAACTTGGGTAATAGTTCGCCATCAAGTCAATTTCAACAAGGAAACAGTGTGGTGTAATGATTTGGGCATTGGACTAGGAGCCCTTCCACACAGTCATATAACCCAGAATATTGAAGCAGATAATCCACAATATGTGCTTTCAACTGGAATATCTGAGTCCACACTGCCAAATAACCCAGTTCAAAGCAGATAATGTGGGATTTGATACAGCTGTGTGGAAGGGGTCTTGGAACCGGGTTCAACTCTGTGACCAGCCATGGAAATCCACATAGGGCCCTTCCACACAGCCCTATATCCCAGAATATCAATAAGGCATAAAATCCCACAATATCTCCTTTGAACTGGGTTATCTGAGTTCATGCTCAGATAATGTGGGATTTCCTGCCTTGATATTCTGGGATATAGGGCTGTGTGGAAGGGCTGTTAGTGACCTTAGGTAAATCATACTCTCTCATCCCCAGAAGAGGGCATTGGCAAACCCCCTCAGAACAAATCTTGCCCAGAAAAACTCATGAGGAGGACTCTATATGTTGGAATGACTTGAAGGCACACAACACACACACATAAAACTTCCCTGTATGTCAGCACTATGCATGGGAGACCTCCAAGAGACATCAATTGTTCTGCTCAGGCTTTGCAAGCACAAGGCTGTGTGTGGCTTCCTTGATTTAATCAATATAATTGTAATACAGCCTTCCTTTTTTTCAATTGCCTTCCACTTTTCTCAGGATTGTCATCTTTTCCAATGAATCGTGTTGCCTAATATATGTTTTGGAGACCCTGGTGGCACAATGGGTTAAACCCTTTTGCCGGCAAGACTGATGACCAAAAAGTTTGGCAGTTTGAATCCAGGGAGTGGGGTGAATTCCTGTCTGTCAGCTTCATCTTCTCATGCAGAGACATGAGAGAAGCCTCCTACGGGATTGTAAAACATCCGGGCATACCCTGGGCAACATCCTTGCCAATTCTCTCACACCAGAAGCAACTTGCAGTTTCTCAAGTCACTCCTGACATGGAAAAAAAATCATATGTTTTGATAAATGTTTTAATCATGCTGCTTTTAGGAAAAAGTACACCTCTTACCAAAGTTGTAAAGTAGAAAAAGAACCCAAATTTTACTACCGCAGCACTTTGGATTTTATATTTAATATCATACTCATCTTGCCTGAGCAGAAGACTTGCTCCTCTAGCTGCTCTAGTATTTTAATATAGAGCAAATGACCACAAGTGAAAGGGTCATGTTGTGCAACAAAATGGCTTTCCGGGACCTGGACCTGGACCTCAGCCGACAGAACAGATTGGCCTCCAAGGACACAGATGGTGGCCATCTCAGCTTTAGCACCATATATAGCCATCAACTAAATTTTGTGCATATCAAAAATAGATGCATTTGGAGTTACCACAAGATCAAGCATAATATCCTACATTAAAACCAGAAAGCAATAGCTGCAAAAAGAACTATTTGTGTCCACCAGGAAAATCACTTCATTGCAAAAAGTTTTTTTTTCATAGTAAAAGCCTCCATTGGTGGGATTTTAAACCAAATTGCCACAGTTTCTACTGGGAAGCTGCTTGTCTGTCTGTCTGTCTATGTATCTTCCACCCATCCTTTAAATGCTAGTATCCTGAACTTTGCAAGGGTTATTTAGAAATTCCCAGGGAAGACCTAAGGAGGGCCATCTGTTCCACTCTGTGGGTAAACTTGGATGCTTCCCCATACTGTTGTCTCCAGACTTTGTTGCGTCTGTAGTCCCAAGAGAAGAGGCTTCCTTCTGCTACTTTGTTTAATAGCTTTAACTGTTCCCATGGTTGTAGCAGGATGAGTTGTAATGGGTAAGGCAATTTCTCCTTGAGCAAGACAGAAGTTATGAAAAGGATGAACAGGAGGTCCATGACACGAACTAAATTGATGTTTGTCATATATTTAAATTAACTGGCAGAAATGTGGGGAGATGAACCAGGCTGAGCAATGTGGAACTCCATCTGAGTTTGGCTAAGTCTTAGACCAATAGAATAAACACTAAGATTTTCAAGTACCTGGCAGTTTTGCATTTGCCATTTGTAGAGATAAGCCACAATATACTGTAATAGCTATAGCTGTCTATGTGAGATCTTTTAAAACCAGACAACTCAAAAGGGCAAGTTAAAAAAAATCAAAGCATTCATTTCCGGATTTTGAATGGTGAACTTCGTGTGCATCTAGACTGTTGAATTGATGCAATTTGATACCACAATAACCACCATGGCTCAATGCTGTGAAATCATGTAAGTTTTAGTCTCACACAATTTTTGGCTTTCTTTGCCGAAGGATATTCATTCTCAATAATCTCCAAATCTCCTTATTCCATAGCATTGAGCCATGGCAGTTAAAGTAGTGTCGAACTACAGTGTAAGTGCATCCTGAATCTGTCGTCTTTACAACAGCAAATGATTAGTTATATAATTTAGTGTTTTGCTACAAAAGGAGGAAATCAATGTAAAGTAGTGGTTTAAGCATTAGACTAGCACACTGAGAAGCCAGGGTTCAAATCCCCATGTGGCCATAGAAATCCACTGGGAGACCTTGGGCAAGTCACACATCCTCAAGTTCAGAGGATAGCAAAGGCAAATCCCCTTTGAACAAATCTCACCAAGAAAATTGTATAATAATGTCACCATAAATATGAATCAACTTGGAGGTACATAAAACAGCAAGGATAACTTTTGTATTTGTATTACTAATTCATTTTTAATTAAATGATATTAATAATCATGTAAGAAACAGAAATCAAAGTGAGTATATGTTGCACAATATCAGAATTTCTCTTGGTTGCATTATATTCCCAGGATTCCATAGGGGTTCAAGTGCATCCAGTCGGCAGTGTAGATGTGTGCAATGTGACATATTATGTTTGTTTAAGTTCCAACTTTTAGTTATTATTGGTTAATTACTATAAGTTTATATTGTTGTATTTTATTTATTGTGTTGATTGATTTGTTGTTTGTCTGTTTTTATGGCTTTGAATGTTTGCCACTTTTGTTGGAAACCACCCTGAGTCCCTTCGGGGAGATAGAGCGGGTAACAAATACATTATTATTATATTATTATTATTATACATGTTTCCATGATGTACATGAAAAATTGAAACTGATGTGTTGATGCATCATGTGTATCAGAGGAAAATGCATATTAGTGGGCATCTGTATCCAGTAGTAATGTTCTGCAAGTGAACTGAAAGGAGAACATTCAAGCAGGATGTTAGATGGTAACCTGTATTCCAAGTATTGCGAATGGAAATAATATTTGACAATATTCCAAAAAATGGTTGAAAAACATATTTGTGTTTTTTGTGGATTGAAAAAAATGGATGGGAAGAACCTTGGACTGATAAGAATCTTTGCAGTGCAGGCATAAACCATACAAAATGTGCCCATGGTGTGCCCTCTTTTGTGCACAAAATGTGCCCTTTTTGTGCACAAAAAACATTTTCTTTTTAAAAATATATTTCATGTTGTTTTCTATACAAACAATGTAATTGGGGATTTAGTCTTTGTAAAAATTTTACATGGTTGATTTATAAAGGAAACTGCATATTTTTTTGCAACAATGATTATTTCTGCATTAAAATATTATTTTCCATGCAGAAAATGTTTTTTTTCCTGCACAAAATAACCACGGACAAATTTTGCACAGAAGAGGTCCTGGATCACAAATAGCCTTTGAAAATTGTGGTTTTCAGACTTTACTGCAGCAAGAAGGAAATTGATGAAATTGCTCACTACCTTTGACAAGAAAGTGAAAAATTATTTCCCTAGTTAAGTATACATTTTTCACTCATAATACATTTCTAACCCCTGAAGTACGCTGGCAAAATGATTTCTGCATTCTTGGAAGCTTTTTGAAAAAGATGGCTGGGCAAACAAAAGCAATGTAGAGTAAAGGACTGGGGATTGAGGACTCCCATGTTGCATATTGAGATGTGTAATTACAAGTAGACACACCAAAGTCACCTTCAACTTTTACCCATACATAAACATTCTTCTCTCCCACAGAAACACAGACTCTGGAAGAACGTGGTCAACAAGTAAAGATGGTGCTGGAATCTTCCTGCCTTCCTCAGTGGAACAGACTCCTTTTGCAACATCTGACCAGGCATTTCTGTAAAGTGTGCCAGAACAACACCAAGAGTCACCTTACACCTAGGTTACTTGGAGAAGTCTTTTGTGACGTGCTTTTTAAACCGTCCTTATCAAGGTAATACTTCTGGGACATGTTCCAGACTTCACCATTTGCCAGAAATATGAAGACGAGTGGGTTCTTCTTAGTTGTTTTCTCTTCACCTTCCTTTTCTTCTTGAATGAATTGGGCTGCCTAGAACTCCATTTTTAAAAACTGGCCTTATAATAATAAAATTATGATTTTGTTCTGTGTGTGGAGAGAAAAGGAAAGAGACTAAATCATTTCAAATTGCATCTTCTTCTTCTGAAAAAGGTCTTGTGTGAAAGCCATTTACATTTTAAATGGTGAAACTAAGTCCTTTATCATTTGCCCTGATTCAAAACTTGCTGTGCTTTTGTTAAAGGTATTCAATAGGCCATTGTATACCTACTGACCCATTTGGAATGTAAATATTAACTAAGTAATGTAATATCACCTGTTGCTTTTTCCCATATCTCTAATTTGGCCAGATTCAGATCTAACCCCAAGCCATAGTTTAGGGCTGCCAACTAAACCAGTGGTTCTTAACCTGTGGGTCCCCAGGCGTTTTGGCCTACAACTCCCAGAAATGTCAGTCAGTTTACCAGCTGTTAGGATTTCTGGGAGTTGAAGGCCAAAACATCAGGAGACTCACAGGTTGAGAACCACCAGGCTGAACCATGGCCAGTCTCCCCTTAACCTGGCATGTTCCATCCTCTTATTCTACACTGGCTCAGTATGAGGATATCAGAAATATCTGCTTCCATTTTAGATATAGTGCAGGTCAGTTTCTTATCAAATCAACCAAACTGTGATGAACTTTAACAATCGTTTCTTAAAACAAGCCAGTTTCATTAACCTCCATCAAGCAATTCATAACTAAAGGGAACCACAGTGACACATGACTGATAACAAATAAATAAATAAAACCTTCCAACTTCCTCGTACATATTTCAGAAGAGGCAGAAGACAGTTATTGCAGCGGCTGCAGGACACTGGTGTGTTTCTATCATGATAAGCCATCTCTCTCTCTCTTTCTCTCTCTCTTTTCTTGGTTACGTGCAGTCACAACTCATTATTTCATCTTGAGCGAGAATTGTTACCTGAACTGTCTTATTTTCCTGATCCATTCCTTTTGTGTTACATGACTTAGATGACAAAGACATTATTATAAAATGTAAAGTAGTTTGTATAGATAATACATGTAGTTTAAAAAATCAACATTAACAAAAAAACAGAACAGTATGGAGACAAACAAGCACAGGACTGTGGTCACCAGTATTAACCTTTTTAATTATTTAAGTACTAAACCATAGTTGACATTAGATTTAGGAGTGTCGCTGGTGATCGTGGTGCTCCTGTTGTCATCTATGAAGCAACTGCAATATGCTGCTGTCCTTGAAAATTCCAAAATAATGCGGAAATGTGGTGGCTGACTATGTCATATCTTATCCATGATTTCAGATGTCCATTTGCTTCTTCTAACTATCCTGCACATACAGGTAGCCTAGATAAGCTTGCATTAAGTTCTGTCATTATCTTTCTAGCATGGAGATGAATCCTGAGCACCATGTGAAGATTATCGAAGCTCTCATTGTAGCTGGTGGAGTGTCTGAGGCCCAGCCAGCACCAGGTAGGAAATTACTGAAAACCTTGCCATCTAAAAGACAATGGAATGAGGAAACTTGTCTGATTGTATGTTGGCTTTGTGGTCAGTAATAAGCAAAGTGAGGACTGGACTTTGTCATGTGAGTGCCTGCAACTTATGTTTAATTTACTGTGCTCCTAAGGGCAGTCTGTGTGATGTATCAGTTGAATTTTCAAGTATCAACAAAGAAAGTCGGTGGTCTGGATACCGTTTGGAGTGAGGAGATTTCTTTAGCTGCTTGGACAGTGTTCAGATGAATTTCATTGGGTTGCTTTCATGATTTATTTATCGTATCAGAAGTGAACTGAATGTATTAATGTATTTTAAAAACACAAAGTTTAAAAAACTTGACATTATACTAAATGTCCTTTGACCTGTAGCTGGCCTCTGGTGTTGCTATAAGAAGGTCTTCCATTATGCATGTGGCAGGACTCAGGTTGCATTGTAGTAGGTGGTTTGTGGTTTGCTTTTCGCCACACTTGCATATCGTGGACTCCATTTTGTGGCCCCGTTTCTTGAGATTGGCTCTGCATCTCATGGTACCAGAGCGCAGGCTGTTCAGCACCTTCCAAGTCATCCAGTCTTCTGTTTGCCCAGGGGGGATTCTCTCATTCGGTATCAGCCATGGGTTGAGGTTCCGGGTTTTAGCCTATCACTTTTGGACTCTCGCTTGCTAAGCTGTTCCTATGAGTATCTCTGTAGATCTTAGAAAACTATTTCTTTATTTACGGTGTTGTTGTATTGACTGATATCTGAACAGGGGATGGGCTGGAGATGTCATTGCCTTGGTCCTTTCATTATTGGCCGCTGCTTCCCGGCGGATGTCAGGTGGTGCAATACCGGCTAAACAGTAGTCATGATTATTTGTATTCATGGGATATACTAATTTTAGGGAACAAGATATACAGGAAAGTAGTGCAGAATCAGCTTCTATTGCATTTAACGTGGAATCTAGAAGTTCATAAACCAGAGTTCTGTATCAATTTTTGTAGGTATAGTCATTGTGGTTGTACAAACAAGGCTTCTGAAATATTTCCTAACCTTGCTTCATTAACATTTTCATTGCTGTTTTGTTGGCAGCTCTAATCAGCTGTTACACAAGTCATTCTTTATTAGATCAGTCCTTGTTGATTGTGTGATCTCAGCCTATTGAGGATCACATCGCTTCAGTTATGATACCACTTGTAGTTATAGCTGCCTATGTGACAATATCATGAAGCCAGTTCAAAGTCCAATCAGCCCAAACACATCTGAATCCGACCAAATCAGCCCAAACACATCTGAATGCCTTTTTAAGGTCCTACGATGTGGCAATAGCGGCAGCACAAAAAACATCTTTTGCGGCCAATATTGCATCTGCGAGGAATCGTCCAGCTGAGCTCTTCCGAGTTGTCAGGGGTCTGTTAAATCCGCCGAAAAGCGAGATCCCTGACAGCTCTGGAGCTCGCTGTGAAGCGTTTGCTCGATTCTTCGCAGATAAAATTGGGCGGATTCGGTCGGCTTTTGACACCACTTTACCTGCAGTCTCTGAGAATGTAACGAGAGCATCTGCTTGTCAGGTTTTATTGGATTCATTTCAATTGGTTCAGCTTGAGGATGTGGACAGGATCCTTGGAGAGGTGCGACCCACCACATGCATCCTAGACCCCTGCCCATCCTGGCTGATCAAGGAAGCCAGAGGGGGTTTGGCAGAGTGGGTGAAGGTGGTGGTTAATGCCTCCTTACAGGAGGGCAAGATTCCAGCGAGCCTAAAACAAGCTATTATCAAACCGCTGTTGAAAAAACCATCACTGGACCCCACTCAATTAGACAACTATCGGCCAGTTTCCAATCTCCCCTATTTGGGCAAAGTCCTGGAACGTGTGGTGGCGGCACAACTCCAGGGATTTCTGGTAGACACTGATTATCTTGATCCGGCACAGTCTGGCTTTAGACCGGGACATGGAACGGAAACAGCCTTGGTCGCCTTGGTAGATGATCTGCGCAGGGAACTGGACAGGGGGAGTGTGTCCCTGTTAGTTCTGCTGGACCTCTCAGCGGCCTTCGATACCGTCGATCACGGTATCCTTCTGGGACGCCTCACAGACATGGGTCTTGGGGGTACTGCTTTGCAGTGGCTCCAGTCATTTCTTGAGGGACGGTCCCAGAAGGTGTTACTGGGTGACACCTGTTCGGCCCCACAACCGTTGTCGTGTGGAGTCCCACAGGGTTCGATCCTGTCCCCAATGTTATTTAACATCTACATGAAGCCGCTGGGAGAGATCATTCGGAGTTTCGGATTGAGATGTTATCTCTACGCAGATGATGTCCAGATCTGTCACTCCTTTTCACCTGTCACCAAGGAGGCTGTCCAGACCTTGAATCGGTGTCTAGCTGCTGTGTCGGACTGGATGAGAGCTAACAAATTGAAATTGAATCCAGACAAGACAGAGGTCCTACTGGTCAGTCGTAAGGCCGAACAGGGTATAGGGTTACAGCCTGTGTTGGATGGGGTTACACTCCCCCTGAAGACGCAGGTTCGCAGCTTGGGGGTGATCCTAGACTCACAGCTGAGCCTGGAACCCCAGGTCTCAGCTGTGGCTGGGAGAGCCTTTGCACAACTAAAACTTGTGCACCAGTTGCGCCCGTACCTCGGGAAGTCTGATCTGGCCACGGTGGTCCACGCTCTTGTTACATCCCGAATAGACTACTGCAACGCTCTCTACGTGGGGTTGCCCTTGAAGAACTGTTCGGAAACTTCAACTAGTCCAACGAGCGGCAGCCAGATTGCTCACTGGAGCGACATACAGGGAGCATACCACCCCCCTGTTATGCCAGCTCCACTGGCTGCCGATTCAGTTCCGAGCACAATTCAAAGTGCTGGTTTTGACCTACAAAACCCTATACGGTTCCGGTCCAGTGTATCTGTCCGAACGTATCTCCCTCTATGTCCCACCCCGAAGTCTGAGATCATCCGGGGAGGCCCTGCTCTCGACCCCACCACTGTCACAAGTGAGGCTGGTGGGGACGAGGGGCAGGGCTTTCTCGGTGGTGGCCCCCCACCTGTGGAACTCACTCCCGGGGGAGATTAGGGCATCATCATCCCTCCTCGCCTTCAGGAGGAGGGTGAAAACTTGGTTATGGGACCAGGCCTTTGGGCACTCTGGTAATTAAATCACTCAATTAGGCAAGTAAGACCAGCAGGATGGTTGAATGGAACGAAAATCTAGATCTAGGTGTTAACAAACACTGACCATGTAAGAGGAAAAACTGGGTTTGTATTTGGTTTTAATGATTTTATTGATTTTATGGTTATATTGCATGCATGTCATCTGTGAATTGTTGTAATTTTATGTAAATTTGTGTATGATTGTTTGTGACGCAGGCATCAAATCGTGCCTTGCTCCTGTAAGCCGCCCTGAGTCCCCTTCGGGGTGAGAAGGGCGGGGTATAAGAACCCCAAATAAATAAATAAATAAATAAAGTGGTATTTGTTCATTCAGAATTAGCCCCAAGGTAGAGTCAGTTATGAGACATCGTAATATCATCATTTTGGTTCCATGGGCCTCATTTTTTCAAAACAAGTAGTCAACGAGGCAATCTTATTTGACTAGGGGATTATGCCAGAAACCCAATTCAGTGTAAAGGCAATGAGACTCAGCACTGTCCACATTCTGAATGTATAAGGAGGGTGGAGGGCTCTAAATACATCCAGTTTTGTTTCCAGCTCCCTCAAATATAGTGAAAGGAAGGGAAACTGTTCCAAGAAAGCACACATGCACACAGTTTTAGCTTAGCTATAGTAAAATGCACTCAAAATCTTTTCAAAACCAAGAATAGATATGCCTCTAAATGAATGAAGTCAAAGAAAATGGGTCTGAAATCAACTACTGTATTATAAAATATGTCTTACAAGTAGAAGTTAATCAGAATAGATTTCTAAAAGGTTTTTAAATACATATTGTTTGCTTTATCAGTGCAATTTCTAGTGTGTTCAACTGTCTGGGTCAAGACACTAGAACCAAATAATGAAAAGTTCCAAAAGCCTTTGGGACAGGCAGTTGTGGTGCAATAGCATCCTATTATTTCTATTCACCATGGTTAGTAGTAAGGAATAGTTGTCCAAAATACCTGTTGCAGGGAACTGTCGAGTCCCTGAGTTAACCCAGGAGTGAGAATCATATGCCGTCCCGAGTAGATTTCAGGTCCCAGCAGACCTAGCCAGCATTAGCCAATGTAGTAGAAGCCTGGACACTGCAGCCCAACAATATGTGGAGCTGCATATGATTCCCATCTCAAATAAACACCATGCAACTGTAGATAAAGCTGAGAGTGTGCTGCAGCATGGCAGCTCACAATTAAACAATTACAGAAAGGACCAAAAAGACTGTGGGGAAGGATGAGTTGAATTGGAAAACTTAAACAGTTAAACAAGCACGGGAATTGTACTAGTCATGAGCTAACTGCTTCCAGTCTTCCCTATGGGGTCTAGGACTTCAGAAACCCATAGAGGGCACTTTTGAACATCCCTTCATGAATTGAAGTTTGTGTTTCAGAGGATGAGGAAAAGTACAAACATTCCTGTGTGTGTGTGGTTTCCTTAACTGTTTCAATGTGCACATTGCAAAGCCACAATTGCATCTTGGCCATCAACACAATGATTGACAGCAACACAATACTGACTGCCCATATTGTATCTGCAGTTGCCATAGAAAGAACGGGAAGGTCTCCTTTCTTTCACACTGGACTGATCACTTGCCTTGCAATTGTCAGATTTGCTAAAGTCTCTTGAGCCAGACATGGTCTGTGGTTTTGCAAGGATGCTTCGTCCTCTCCAGCTTGTGATGATCCAGAAGAAGGAGAGTCCACCGCCCCACTGTCAGACCCATGCTTGTTTTTCGGCTCTGGTGCCCTCCTTTTTTCCAACACTCCAGGAGGTGATCAGCCTGCCTCAGGCAAGGATGGGAGATCCACGTTTGTTTCACCTTCTTGTCTTTGTCCATGGT